TGTTTCGCTGCAGATACCTGGATGCGGCCCGCCACAACGGTGTGTCGATTCTGAAGGTGAACGAAGAGATTCTGCCGACTTCACAGAGGAATGCGTTGCGTTTCGGACCACGGTGCGAGTGCAGTGGAATGAGTTTAAGGTAACTTGAAAGTTAGGCACTGTACGGATCGCTAGACGATCGATGTTGCTTTTCCCTCAAATGCAAGAAGTATAGGCTTCAATCAGTCGATGGCCATAGGCGCAAATAGATGGCGGTTGATGCATAGTTCTGTTTTATTTGAAATGTGTTGCAGTGCTACCAGTGTTTTTGCCAAATAACAACGGTCTTCCTGGCAAACAGTGAACTGAATTCATTGAAGTATAAGTATGTTAGGTGTCGATTAATTACCTATTTGAAAAGTTTAAGTTTGCCTTCGCTTCCTTTTGCATAGTTCAAGGCAGCAGTTGAGAAGGACGATGGGAAATCGTTTATTTAACAGCGTTTTTCTACATCAAACTCCAGTGTCACCATGAGGGTATTATTTTGGACCGTCTGTGCGTTTTATAAATATTATGAACTGTGCGATTTACAACACTTAAATACCGTACCAGTATTCAATAATCAATTAACAATCAACTCCGACGGTCCAGCATGTTTGCACTAAATTTTTGGACTAGTGGTATGCGATCATTAAGTTAGCTGTGTTGCCTGTTATCGACATCTTGACCATACTAATGAAGCTAATATCAATAATCCGGTTATGTCATTGGTTTTGTTTTTGATGTTCCGCAAACTTTTAAAATGCTCTATGTGCTGTTTTAAAAGGCTCGATGTGCCTTTTTTCGTTTGCCCCACATTGTACCAACACCGTGTGGGAAGTCTGATCACAGTCTTCACATGTGGATTAGCAATGTTTACTCCATTAAATATAACGATATGCCCAGAAGATCTTCAGGAATGTAAAAAGTACGTACTAACCGATACAGAGTCATTACATCATTTTCTGGAGCAGGCCAGCTGTTTTTTTATTGCCAATTCTCTGGAAGATTGCCACTAAAGGGCGAGGCCAATATCCAGGGATCTGTCAGCGAAATTTTATGGGCCACTTGTTGTTCAGAGAACTACCGCACATCTATGTGAACAAAAGCACTGTGAGCAGCAACTGTACCAGTTCGTTGATCATTTTTGGTATACAGTTTGTGATTATTTGCTTCTTGTTACTTTGAGATTTGGCACTGTTCTCGTCTTTCACCAGTTAATTGTTTGTCGTGATGATGGCTAACTTTGTTTAGCCGAAACGGGACAGTGAGATAAATTAAAGACACTGAAGACGTCAACACCGGTGTCCGGTTTGTGCTTATCTTTCATCACTGAGTCGTCAGCGTATCTTATCCTGAAAAGGACTGCACTGGATCGTATGAGTGTAAACACGAAAACTCAGCATATAAGATTAAATAACTAATTGAAACTAGAACTGACAAAACTGCCATTTGCGTCCTGGTAAATGACAACTTCTTGACCTACGAGACAACCAAAATAACTTAAGTGTTTATTCTTAAGTGTAGTAAGTGTTTTCCATAGGAAGTTTCCAAATGAATCATACAATGATTTTGAATTTTGGTTTAAGTTTACAAGCTTTATTGAATTTATTGAGAGAAACTGTTCATTTTTTGTTTGAAGTTTCGTAGAGCTTCAAACAGTGCACGGCCGCAACGAAATCGGAAGGCGACAATGTTGTATTGTAGGGAGGAGAGGCACTTGTGAGAAATATGAAATAAGTGAATATTTAGCCTCTTCTCCGTTTTGACTGGATAACGGTTGTTCGTTGGTACCCGATTCGTATTTTGACCTTGAAGAAGATCCAATAACGTTTGAATTTTGGTGATTGTGTGTGTGTCTGAAGTAAGCTAAAACGCGAGATTTTGATGCAGAACTCGTACGAGCTCCAGAAAATGAACTTCGATTCGGATTATCAACACCGGTTATGATTAGGAACAGAAGCTAGGTTGACCTAATCGCATTGGTTATCCTTGTTTATTCGTCGAAGTAAATCCAGAATTTTCCTGTTGTTTCGGTTGGTTTCTTTTCGACCGATTTTGTTTCAGTTGAACTATTTACGGTGCTAGGCTCTGGTGAATCCGAGTCCTTTCCGTCTGCTGTGCTGACCCGTGCCGTATGTTCCCGCATCCTGTTTATTGAGCTTTCTTGTGTCTTCAAGTGTATTTGTCGTTAAGACGACAGCTTTAGACTACTCTGTCGATCAGAATTGTTAGCCTTGAACGGCAGTAACCGAAACAATAGCAACAGCTTCCTTATTTTCACAGGTGCCATTCATGCGTTTTAAAATTCCAGTTTTCCCATTTTAGCATTATCCACTAACTCCGCCATGGCCGGTCCCAAGCCCGGATGAGAAAGGAGGAGGGTTGGAGACCGTGGCAAGTCT